ACAGAGTGGCAGATAACGGTCAGATGATAAAATACTTCAAATATGTTAATGACAACATAAACTACTGCCCTGATGTCACGTTTCAAGTCCTTTCTCAACAGTGCTAGAAATTGAAAGGTATCATGCTTCTGCTCCAACTTCTAAAAAAGGAAAATCTCATCTCTATTTCCTCGTCTTTCCCAGCTGGACTTTTGGGGAATACATTCTGAAAACCCTTACCAATAAACCTGGCTCTGAATTCTATCAGCCAAGAATTGTCCCACACTCTGATCACCCAAAGTCAGCTCATTCTCTTGATTACTTTAATGAGCAGTTGAATGACATGAACAACACCAGGCAGGGGCCTCACGATCATTGAGCCCCCAGTGTTTCTCCCCACAGATGCCCCCAGACCCCTCCCAGCCCTTGTTTACATTCATGCCTTATTGCATGTGAATTGGCATTTGGACTCCTCTAACTTTTTCTATACTAAGGAAGATAGGAGCTGACCTCTCTGGTTGCAGAATGTGGACTTTACATTCAACAGCAGGGGATGAGAGCCATTTGGTAGACAGCAGAAGTCCTGTCTAGATAGCCTGGGGTTCAGGTCACTGCAGCCTTCCAACCTTACATTTTGCCAGTTGGGTGCTCTGTGACTTAATCTGAGGGCAGATTGACATAAAAGTACAACCCTGCAGTGCTGCCCGGGCCCTAGCAATTCTACCAGCACATCTTGGACAAGAAGGTGCTTGCCTGGAGCACTCTGGGGAGCTCTCTTCTTTCCACTGTTTTGCACTGTGTGCTCTGTTGGCAACTGGTAACAGCTTCACTACCTCGGGTGGCTGCTTATGGGGTAGAGTTTACTGGGCATGCATTGAATGCGGGCATGAGACCAGTCCCCAGAGCCTAGAGCAGGCCGTCTGTGTACAATCTAGGAGTTCATAGTTTTGCTTGCAAATCATTACACCTGCCCATAGTCATCCCTCATTTTGGGGAGAGGGGCTAAAAAGGAAACCCTTATCAGGCGCCTAGAACGTCATTGCTTCTCTTTTAGAATTTGTTTGAACGCAGACCTGTCTCCCACAGACAATTTACACCTCTTATCTGATCATCCACTCCAGACGCAAGGCTGATTGACCGCGTCTGCCCGTGTCCATGGCAATGGTGTTTAAACCCAAGCATAGATCAAAGCTCTGGAGGCGGAGGGAGGGGGGTGTGTGTGGGAGGGAAGGTTGTTGGTTACAGGGTCCGGGTTCTTTTGGCCCCAAGCGGCGTGTCCCAGAGGTGGAGATGTTGGGGCTCGGAGTTGCCACCATCTGAAGAAACCCACTGTCAGGGCCAGAATAATTTCCTGAGCAAACCCCAGACCCTCCCTCCCCGACCCCCCGCCCACGATTAACTCGAGCAAAGGGGAGATTCTTGGCCAGGCGCTGATGAGGAGTGGATAGCGCCAGGGGGCTCTCCTCTCTGTCTGAAGCCGAAAGGAAGGGGGGCGGAGGGAGGGCGGCGAGCGGTGAGCACACGCCAGTAAACCGGAGCGTGGATCCCCTCCCCTTCAAGAGAAATTCAACCGGAGCCGCAGAAGCTGCGACACGGATGAGCCGGATCCCCTAAGCTTGCCAGGAAAGCTGATTCCCACCCCACCCCCACGGTTCCCAGAGGAGAGACCGGTTCATTCGACCACCCCCGACCCCGTCCCCGCCAGCCCCTGGACGTTGGCTCTGCTCTGAGGGTGCCCCCCACCCAGCCGCCGGGCGCCTGGGACCCGATAGGAAAAACTGCGGTGCAGTGAGCCCGAGGCAAAGGGTGGGGGCAGCCGTTTAATCACAGCTCGCCTCGCCTCCATTAACTTGTGTTGGTATTAAAAAGAAATCAATCAGTGAAAATGAAGCATTGGCCGTGAATATTTCTCTTTCTCACGTGGAGAAGCAAGAAGCGAGGCGGCGGGGGAGGGGAGGCGGACCGCGAAGGCGACTGCAGAGGTTCCTCCCAAGCGGAGAACCGCAGCGGCGACTTAACTTTCTGGCAGTGGTTGGCTTGGAGGAAATGCCGCAAGCCTCTCCCTGGGGGTGCCCTTAGTCAGGAGGAGGAGGGGACAAGGCTGGAGTTGTTGGAGGCGGCCAACTTCTCCCAGGCTTGAGCCTTGGTTTTGCTTTCGCTGGGAATATTTGTGCCTAATAGAATGTTTATGGATCGTTCGGCTCTGTTTCTGCTGCGTAGCCCAAACAAATCGATGCGGTGTTAGAGACGGCGCTGAGGGGTGGGTCAGGCTTGGGGGCCACCACGTCCCCACCACGTGGATGCCCGCGCGCCGCGTGCTCTTCACCTGCCCGGGCGCACGGGCGAGCGCTGGGCGCTGCTAGAGGCGGTGCAAGTTGCGTGCATTCCCGAGGCTAGAGAGGGCTCCTTTCCGCCCCTCTCCGCCCTCGGTTCTGAAGTCCCACCCCGACTTCCCACCCCCCAGTTCGGCCAGCGCTCGGATCCCCAGCTCCGCCGACCCCGGGCCTCAGCCCCTTGGCGCCGGCCCTCCAGGGGCCGCGGGGAGAATTCAGCGCACAGCCGAGCGCGGGAGACAGGAGGGGGCGCTCAGGGCAGGGCCGGCCAGGCGGCCCCGAGCCCCCGAGCCCAGGCAGGAGGGAGGCAGGCAGGCGGCGGGGCAGAGAGTGGGGGAGCCTGGTGCGCACAGCCCAGGCGGCCTCCCTGCCGCCCGTCAGTGCAAGAGGCTGCCGCCGAGTTATTTTCTCAGTCGCTCCCCCTCCTGCACCTTCCGCCCTCCTTTTCCCCTGACTCCTTCTCGGAACGGGTTCCCGCCACCGCTGCGGCCGGCTGGGCTCGGCCCCCTCCCGGCAGGCGCGCACCGGGTGAGTCAGAAGTCTACTAGGGCCTCACCCTTTGCCACCCGCTGCCAGCTCCCCGGGTGCCACTCGGGGGCTCCGACGGGAAGCCGGAGTTCCTCGCGGTTTGCGATCGCCTTTTCGAGGGGCTGGAGGATATCCACCCAGGGCGGGTCCCAGCTCCGCGTCCCACAAGGAGGTCCCACCCCGGGTGCCAGGCTGCCTGCGGCGTCGTAGTGGTTGACCGGCCCCGCGCTCCGCGCCTCGGGGCTTCTCTAGAAGTGACGCAGCGCGGCCCGCGGCTAGGGAAGGAGGGGGCTCTGCGGAGAGCGCGAAAGGCAGGTGGCAGAGCGGGAGTGGGTTCGAGCGGGTGTCGCACACACGCGTACACTCCGCGCAGCGCTCGGGGACAGATGTGCGAACATCTGGGGTAGGAGATGGCCCCTGAGTCTTCACGACCCCTCCCGCTCGCAAAGCACACGGAACCTGAAGTTGGGTGTGTGTGTGTGTGTGTGTGTGCGCGCGCGTGTGTGTATGTGAGCGCGCGCGCGCGCCGGTGTGTGCCCCAGTGTGCCCGCGCTCGCCGGGGCCTACTAGAGTCCGTGCCTGAATACATAATATACCGTGGGCATCTTCACCGCGCGCGCGCGCGCACACACAAACACACACACACGCACCCAGCGAATCACACAAACATACATAATTTATGCAGCATCTAGGTCTGTGGGAGGTAATTTAATTTCGCTTCAAGCTGGGAACTTAGAATTAAGGCAAGAGGGGATGGGGAGACAAGTGAGACCTGCGCCCATCTCTCCGACACGTTTTGCAGCGGCCCTGAAGACCAGCTCTGGCAGAGGAGGAGGGGCAGCAAGCGTGTGGATTTGGATAGCAAAGGCATTCCTCAGGCTTCCTTCCCCTCAAATAACCACTCAAGCTTAAATGGGGGGTGTTGGCGGTGAGGGCCAGAGCACCAGGCGCACAGCTTCCCCTTTTGGCTCTCACAGGACCCCGAGGCCGCTGTGATGGAGGGGAGGTGCCCGGGAAGCAGCAAGGGGTTAGCCCTACCACTGCCTCAAGCCGGCCTTAACCTTGGAAGTGCCTTCCGGTAAGGGCACTTCACGAAGGCTTTATCACCTCTTTCTCTTTTCCCTGTTTCCTCCAGAGATGGTTTCCCCATTTCCAATCACCTGTAGCAGCTTCCAAGAGTTTTGTCGGATTCCCGACACTGTTCTCAGAGGGAGAGAGGCTCACTCTGGGGAGAGTGGTGTGGGGAAGGAAGGACAAGCCCCACTGGATTCCCTGCACCCAGAAATCCCTTCTCAGGCCGTGTGCCCCTTGCCAGCCCTCCTCCCCGCTGCCAAATACTGGCCTCAGACTGTTCCGGGCCTGGCAGTCCTTATCTCTGCAGTCTGTCCACACACCCTTTTTGGCAGTGGTTTGAGAACAAATTCCACTCAAAAGTTTCTAACCACTTCACAAGAGTAAGAGACCTTCGAAGGCCATGCAGTCTGTTTTATCTAATAATAATTTTTAAAAGAACATCATTTACTTTCCCAGAAAACACATGGATGCAGGAAAGAGAGCCGGGACGATCAGCCGCCTCGGTGGCCAGCAGCGCCCAGCCCCAAGCCCCTAGCTTAGCTGCAGGCCAACTTGCTCCATCAGCCTGCGCCCTAGGATTCTGAGGCGTATCCACACATTCTGCAAAGAATCCACAGCATTGGAAAACCAAAACTAGACTCTTGTGTTTCCCAAGCCCTTCAGTTAACATTGCTCAATGTAGCTAAGTGGAGAGAATGCAAATGATTTATATTTCACTGGCTAGGTTGAAGAAACTCAAGGGAGACGTGTTCTGCTTCAAGACAGGGGGGAAAAAAATCCCAAAAACTGTAATGCAAAAGCTTTGTAGTATTTTTAAACCTTTGATTCAGTCCATATGTGACATCTGAACACTGCCAAATTCTATGTTTCAAAACACACACACACACACACACACACTCCTAGCAGGAGAGAAAAGTTGGGTTTTAGGAGCGGTGGTGGTATAAGGCCGGCCGGCTGGGATCTCTCTTTAAATTATTTAGTATAGAGAGAGCCTCCTTCTGTGCCATTCCGTGGGGCCCGTATAAGCCGTTGCTTTTAAAGGGAAAAGCATGTTGAGATGAACAGAAAAAACTTTCAGGGGCTTACCTGGTTGGCCTCTCACTTCGTGTCCTGAAAAGTAGAGAGCTAAGAAAACCCAGGTGAGAAGAAACATATCCATTTTGGAGAAGGAGCCTTTCTCCAGAACTGGGTTTGTAGATTTCTTGTATAATTTTAAGTCTTTGTGTTTTTCTCTCCCTTGCGTTCTTCCTTACAGTGTCTTCTGCAAAGGTTTCTAATGGTCAGTGTTTCCCTCCTGGGTCCTGGCGGCCCGTCTTCACCTTTATTCCTGCTGGATTCTCACCTCACTAAGAGGAGGGTGGCTCCTGAAATCAGCAAAGCGGGAGCAAGCTGGGAAGAGGGGACGGGTTTCCTCTCTTAAAAAACAAAACGCTTCTATGTCCTCTCCAGTTCCTCAAAGTATCATTTCCTTTATCCTACAACATCACGAAGATTTTCCGAAAGCCAAGCGTAAAAAATAATAAGAATAATAAAAAGAAAAGCCCAGACTTGCCTTGGGCATCACACGTCCCCAGGCAGCTGTGTGATCTCAGAGGCGTAAACCGACACACATCCCCCGGCACCCGGGACCGACACGCGGGCGGAGGCACCCACCGCCGGACGGCCGGAGTGCGAGGCGGCCGCCCAGCTCCTGCCCTCGCCGGGTTCCCCTAGCGGGAGCCTCCCCAACGACTACCCCCGCTCGGCCAGCCTGACGAGGGGAGTCAGAGGAAAGAAGCGGCGGCGGCGGCGGCGGCGGCGGCGGAGGCGGCTGTTGCTGCTGCGGCTGCTGCTGGCGGGGCGGCGGCGGCGGCTGGGATCGCCAGGGAGCGGGCGAGCCCCTCTCCGAGTTCGCTCGCGCCCGCCCTCACCTCCACCTCGCCCAGCGCCTCGCCGAGGTCTGCGCGTCTGAGGAGGTGCCGGGGGCGGGCTGTGGGCTGGTGCCTCGCTCGCCTTCTCTGCTTCCCCTCCGGCTCCCCCCAGCCTTTTCAGGCCGAGCAGCATGTGGATGTCAGAGCCGCGGCAGAGCTATCCGATTACGCGCCGGCTCAGGGCCCGCCCCTTCTGTGTTCCTGATTAAAGAGGCAGCCGCGGAGCCGCGCGGCGCACATCTCAGCGCCGCGGCACCCGGCTCGGGCGGGGCGGCGGCTGCGGCTTCCCGCCCCCCCCCCCCCCCCCCCCCCCCCCCCAGCCGCGGCCCGATCAAAGTTGGCGGCTCCAGTCCAGCCGCTCTTCTCCCACCCAGTCGCTCCTCTCCCACCCGCACCTCCCGCCCACCCCGGGCTCCTCCGCGCCTGGCTGCGCCCGGCCGCCCGTGCGCAATGCCCGGGAGAGGGAGCGCCGCGGGGCACCTCCGGGGCGCACTGCCCTTGGCCGCGTCGTCCCCGCCCGCGGGAGACTCCGCAGGAAATGAGGGGGGGAAATCCCTGTTTCCCCCCCCAAATTCCCGGGCTCTGAGGCCACACACGTAGAAGCCAGCACAATGCCACGCGCAAGGGCGTTACAAGAGGAGTTGGGTGGCGTACGGTGTTCGGTGTAGGGAACCAGGCGGCAGCTCAGCCATGCGTTCGCACAGGCAGCAGTGCGTGGCGGCGACACACACGGTCAGCCCCGGCTGAATAAAACCCCAAACACTCGTGCGTTTACTCTTCAGGGCCTTTGTTGTGTCCCAAACATACTCCTCTCCTCGCTGGGTAAGGATTTAGTTCTCTCGGCGCACCTAACTTGTAACTACCAGAGGAAGAGAGAGTCTCTCTGCAAAGCATTTCTTCAGGTAATTAAATTGGATACCCCCCAACCGTCCCCAAAAGTACGGGTACGTGAAGGCTTCTCCTCAAAATGCTACTGTAACTACTTCTATTCACCTTTTCCCCATGGAAATGTGGTCACAGCGCGCAGAGAAAGAAAACAGCATTATGCCAACTATTTTTAAATGGAGGTGTGAAAACTGTTTAGAGGGCGTTGTAAGCTAACAGCTGGGGAAACACTTGTATCTTTGTTTCTGAGGATGGCTTTGTGGATTCCAAACTGTCTTGCTTCACTAAGCACCTATTACTACATTATCATAAAGACTCTAACAAGAACAGTCTAAATAACACTCTGCATATACCTTCTCTGCCACTCTGCAGATTAAGAAAAATAAAGTTTTGGTGACAAGAAGCACACACACATCTGACTATCCCATTTATTTCTTTGCTTGTACTTGTGGATTCTTCTGGGTGGTTTTCCTCCTTATCTGGACTTGCCATTAGCTTTGTTTATCACTTTTAGTGTTTGAAAAATCTGTAACTCCCACTTAACTGTTATTTACACTGAGATAACCAAAACAAAATTGAATCAGAAGTGATTTGCAAATAGTTGAGCCAAGCCATGGAGGGATTTTACAGTGCTGTGTAAATCCACCGGCCGCATATCACACTGTTAATCTTAGATGCCTGGTTTGAAAGGGCATTTAACAGAGGCCTAGTGAGTTCTTCCAGGGACCATATCCCCCGGCTGGCCTAAAGGCTACCTTTCATCCCCCACCCCCACCCCTCTCTCTTTCTTCTTGCCCTCCTTCTTTCCTTGGCTTGAGAGCACATCCACATTATTAAAAACTCCGGATTTACTCCCCCCCCCATTTAAACATCAACTATAAAGAAAGACCGCCCCTCCCCAGCATTTAATGGGACCTCAGCAGAGATCCCGGCTTCTATCATTGCCAAGATGCTAACCTAAGGACAACTAACATTACTATCTCCAGTGACACAGCCCGGATGAAGGAAATCATTTAGTATCACCTCCCGCCACGACTCACCAGACGTGCCAAGCCATTCATGCTAGCAAGTGCCCCACATGGAAGAATCCTGTTTCTGAAAGCATTACAGCCAGAGTTTAGGTGAATGGCTTAGGGAAGAGGGGAGAGAGAGAGAGAGAGAGAAGGTACACTGAAACCCATTGGGAAACCATAAGAATGGCAACTCTGGGCTCCTGCTCTTGGCATCTTAGGATTGGGGGGCCCCCCTCAGGCAGCTTCAAGGGTCCTCAGTTTGGTAGGGAGAAGGGTCGGTTTCAGTGTTCTGTTCCTGGACCTGATTCCCAGCATTATGGATTTTAATTTTTTCAGAGGTGTCCTAAAGAGGGAGCTAACTTACTTCCTGGCAGTCCTCAGTACAACTTCTGCAAGACTTCTCGTCAATCCACTTGAGTGAAGTCCTGATTTCCTGCAGTTGGGTAGCAGGTGAGTCTGGTTCAGAGCCCTGGGGACTCCAAGCCGCCGGACCATTTGTAACCCTCTAGGGGGCAGCACTCAATAAATAATGCGAATCCTACCTGCAGGAGCACTTCTGGCTGTGGTGCTTTTACTCCCCGGAGCTCAAAACCCTTTATCAGACAAGGGAAGAGTCAGAGCGAGACCAGATCTCCCCCAGCCCACTCTGAACAAGAGCCCACGGGCCCAGGGAGCACTTAGAATTTCTTTAATCCAGGACTTCCAAGGACTCTGGGGAACTAAACACAAATCCCACACGTGCCTGATGGAAAATAAACCTCTCGGGAAATTCTCCAGACTGGGACGGGCTCAGACCTGCCAGCCCATTTTTGTCTAGACTTAGAATCTCAGGGGTTTGGCAGCAGTTGGTTTAGTTTCTACCAGAGGTTCAGGGGTGAGGAGCCAGGGTCCATACTATTCATTATTTTGTGAGTCCACAAACACTGTCTACTAAAGGACAAGTAGCATGGATAGAAACGATGGGCTTGTTAGCAGAAACACGGAACCAACCAACCAGAAAACAGCTAACTAGTGAGGTTGAGATTCCTGTCAGCGTCACTGACTCACCTGGGACATTTCACATCATTATCCTTAATTGTGAAATAATAATAGATAATCCCATCCTACATTCCATTCCTTTGACAGGAAGGGATGTGGGGAACATAAAACAGATTTGTAAAAGATGCTAAGAGAAAGCCGTAACCTGGCCACACCCTAGTGGAAAGATGGGTGTTCCCAGCTAGACAGTCCCACACCCGAGGGCGAGGGCCCATCAGAATTACCCAGAGCAAGTGTTAAAAATTCAGATCTCTGGGCACCATCTTCCTGCCTATCAGGTTCCTTGGATCTAGGGTGGTGTCTGGGAAGCTCTATTTTTAAGACACATTTTAGGTGATTCTTCTGCAAATGCTCAACAGGCCAGCCATTGGAAACCTCTGTTCTGAGGTGTTATATTTACACATAGCCTTCGATGTATGCACTTCCAGCGAAGGATACCTGGATAAGTATGCCTCCACAATTTTTCTCCAGGCAGTTGTCAGACGGGGGGCAGATGTTTCAAGGAAAACATTGGGAAAAGCCTCCCAGAGCACTTTTCTTACAGTGCCAGAGCAGTGGCATTCCCAGCTTTACCTTGTGACATTTATTTAGCAGCAACAGCAAAGAGCCTTTTGAAAACACCAAGAGCCTCTACCTCTCGGGGGTGGGAGGTTTGCAGGAACATGTTCCAAGGGCCCCTGATGGGGTTTATGGAGCTGGATCCAGCCCTTTCAGCACCAACCCACTTAACCATTGGTTGTTACTAGAGGTTTGTTTCAGGTATGGTTTTCCATCTGTGTTCATCACACTGTACTTATTAAATGCTCACGGAAGCATGACTATGCAGGAGGTGTGCAAGCAAATAAGACATTTGGGTCTTGCCTTCTGGGAATACAGAATCTAAAGGCTCCAGAAGTTTCATGCTTCCGCAATAGATGCCACCTGTCACAGGGTGCTTCCCCTTATCTGAGCACTACCATCGACAAGCTCTCACCCTGAAAGGGGGAGATACGAGCCATAATTGCGTCTTAATCTGTAATTTACTACATTGCCCTAGTTAATATTTAGCTACATCTGTCTCAGAGGCAAAGCTTCAGTTAAAAGTTAATAAGTCCTCATTTTTTATCCTCTCTTTTGTTTGAAGTGAAGTCCAGGTTTCTGGTCAGTAGGGTTCCCCCCTCCCATACTCCTTAAACAACATTTTTCTTTTATTCAATACATTTGAATACTACTTAATAGTTTCTACTTGATCGGACCTTTGGTGGGTTCCCAGAATCTTTACAGATTTCCATAAAATATCAAAATCTCCTTTACTCTAAATCGTGTCTATCTTTCATCTCTTTCTCGGACACGGGCACTAGATCAGGTAGGAAGGAACCTTCTGAACAACAACAAAAAGATGAGCAAAATGTGCAAAATTCATTCAAATATCCCTGGAATCCTTGGCAAAGGAAACTAAAGGAGGTACATTGCTCCCTCTACTCTGCTCAGCTCAAGCATGAGGTGGCTGTCCCTCAGCCACACTGACTTTTGTACATTTGACGCATCGGTGCCTCAGAGAGGTCCCCATCAACCCTTCTCTTTAGAGCGGGATCCTCCCATACAACTTTCTGCAATGAAGAACATATCTGTGCTTTTCCCATGGCGAATGAGCATTTGAAATGTGCCTCGTGTGACTGAGGGACTGAATTTTAAATTGTATTTAACTTTATTAAACATGTTTCTGATCCCTTCAAAAAATACAGATTCCATTTGTGTTTAACAGATCCCACATTGGACAGCTCAGCTCTAGATAATCAAATACCAGAGCTGGAGATTTCCCCTAGACGCCCATAGACATGCACACCCATGTCTATGGGCTACTTTACTTGTTCACCAAAAAGGGAATCCTAGTATGGGCAGAAGCATCGTTTGAAAATGTTTGGTGTCTATTTGGCAAGGAGAGAAGGGCTGGATCCCATTATTATCTATCCTCCTATGCTCCATCTGTGCTTTCTTGGACGACTTTTCCAGAGCACTCACTGGGAATCAGATACTCCACAGTGCTCCCCAGGCTCCTGGTCTCAGCTCCAGGCCTCGGTATAGAGAAGCAGTTTGGGGCAGCAGAAACCTGAGGTCAGGACAGATGGACCTTAGGTCTCTACTGCCCTTGAGTGTCCTTGAAAAGTCTGTTAACTAATTTGGGACCGGTTTCCTCAC